TGTCCCGAACCCACAGGAGCATTGCTGAATGGTAAAACACCCCTGAGCAGGGGGGCCATCCCAGCCCAGCTGAAATGCAGCAGTTTAGGCAAAGATGCAGGGTTTTAGCTGAAAAAAAAAAAGTAGGGAAATTCAGGGGTTTTTGTGCTGCCACCAGCAGGTCATACACCTGATTTCCCATCTGCAGATGGGAACAGACTCAATGTTTTCTTAGTTCAACACAGAAATGGTGATTTCCTTCTCTGGGGTGTAAAGAGCCATTTCTGAGTCAGTGGCAGCAGCGTTGGGTTCCTGTCTCATACAGTTAGTGCTGAGATAGGTCTGATTTTTGTCACATCAGGACCAAGTCATGTTGCAGTTAGGCTGGAAATGTAGCCCAAAGCGGGTGATATCCACCTAAGGATAAAGAACTGAAAACTTTGGATCTCTGTGGCAACAACTTGGTTTTGTGTTGTTTTTCCTCTGTCATTTCAGTGCTGTGTTCACCTGGACCAACCTGCTGGTGGTGGTGGTGGAGCTGTGTGGCTGTGAGCAGGAGGCTCTGGATTTGGTGCCTCTGGTTACCAACGTGGTGCTGGAGGAGCATTACCTGATTGTGGGGGTGGTGGTGGTGGTGGATCCTGGAGTCATCCCCATCAATTCCCGAGGCGAGAAGCAACGGATGCACCTCCGGGACAGTTTCCTGGCAGATCAGCTGGACCCCATTTACGTGGCCTACAACATGTGATGGGAGCACAGAGTGGTCAGGGCGCTTATGGAAGTGAAGCTGGTGAAAATTACTAATACTTGAGCTAAAGTTTGAGGTTGCTGCCACATTCCTTCCCTCCCGTCCTGGGGGTTTCAGTCCTGCTGGGGTGAAGGAAGTGGGAGAAGCAACAGCAAACGTTTGTAACAGTTTACTGAACCATGAGCTTTAGAGAACTGCAAAGGGGGAAAGTGGGTGAGCTACAAAATCCCCAAGGCCTTTACAGTAGTGTTACTTTTTCACCCGTTGTACATATTTGTATTTTTATCTAATCCCGGGTTAGGATTCTATAAGGGGTGGGTTTATTTAGTTAAGATAATAAACTATTAAGAAAAGGGTCATCAGAGTTCTGCAGTTCCCTACTCCATGATCTCCTTTGCATCTGGAGCTGTTCTTCCCACGGGATCACACAACTTATTGACAATTGTGCCATGACCAAATCAATAACTTACAGAATCAGAGTTACTTATTCATATAGAGATTTCTGGAATTTAAAAAGAATTTTGCCTATATTTTAAATATGTAAATATTATTATACATAATTCACTTAGATAGAAAATTAACTTGGCTAGTGAGGGCAGCTGAAGGTTGATGTTTTTAAGGACAGGTGACTTTTGTGGTCCTCAGCATCATGGCATTGGCTTAGGCACAATGTGAGATGCTCCCACCTTCCCCAGGTTTCTGATTTCATTTGCATCTTTATTCTGGCCAGAAATGTGCAGAACCCTTTGGTTTTAAGGCACATCTTTCTCCAGGAGGCTGAATTCAGCATGGAATTGGGGAGAAATGGCAGTGCAGGGAAGGAGCTGAGGGGCAGCCTCTGCCTCATCCTGGGGCACCAGGTGTGGAAATGGAAACCATTCCTCAGGCTGACACACAGGTGAATCCCTGCTTGTGCCATTCCCCTGGGATTCCTTCAGCTCCCTGCAGGCAGAGCAGAGCTGCTGTGAGCAGGCTGTAGTGGAAACTGGGAGCAAACAAAAAACGCTTTCCTCAAAGCATTCCCCGAAAGAATGGGAGAATTCCAGGTTTAAGTTGGACACAATTTTACTGGAGGATCCAGCAATTCTGGCAAACACATTGTTAAATAACATCGTGAAAATTGCTGTCCCAGCCTTCCACATCTCCTGTGTCAGCTCCAGCATTAGGGAATGGAAGAAGGAGAAACCTGAAAGCAGCAGGTACAAGCTCTTCCTGCTGGGAGAGAGCGGTGGTTGAGCTTTGACTCAAAATTATCTCTTTTTTTTTTTTTAAAGTTCTTCATCTTTTAACAGCAATTACACTTCTCTGGGTGCTAATATATGATTTTGGAAGCTTCAGGAGCTGCTACCAGATCCTGCAACAGGGTTTTTTGAGTCAGATGTGGTATACAGTGTAAATAAACTTTTCAGATGTTCCAGATTACCTCACAAAAAAAGTTTTTAGGCAGTTTTTAAAAGGTTTGTGGTGTGGACTTGGAAGATCCTGTGGCAGTTACTGGAACAGAGTCCAGTGGATCCACAAGCAAACCCCAGCTGTGTCCTTGAAAAGCTCCTGCTGCATCCTGGTGGCTCCTCACTGAAAACAGGAGCTTTAAAACTCAGAAGCTTCAAATGATATTTTTGAAAAATATTTGGTGGGGAAATAGGAACTGGAAGTTCTGTGGCAGGTCTGGACTTAAGGTTCTTTGCAAACACTTTGGTTTCAGGGGCACATTTTGGAACCTTGTCTGTGTTTTCCACCTGCAGAATATGCACAAAATCTACAATATATTTAGTTTTAACAAATTGAACACAAAGTGGGGACAGTGGCAGGTCAAAGACTAAAACACTTGGTCCTGCAGCTTATTTTGGGTGTAAAGTGCATAAAGGGTGTTCTCCCCTTTCAGCCAGAAAATTCCTGTTATTCCATGTTCTTTGTCACCATTTTTGTGTTTCCTGCACAGCCCAGGCCTGGCCAAGCAGCTTCACTCCAGTGTGACCTTTCCAGGAAAAACTGGTGGTCTTGAACCTTTTTCTTTACTCAAGGCTTTAGATAAATTGTTTCAACAAACATTTTTTGTCCGCTGAAGTAGATTTTAAGTCCAATCCCAGGATTGTCTTTTATTTTTATTCGTGATTTTTCACAAATAAAACAACGTGTGTATTAATTCCATCAAACGTGGCAGGTGAAATTCCTGAAATGGCATTTTTGATTTGTGACTGGATTGATCTTTTTTTATTTTTATTTTTTCCCTTATTTTTTGGTTTGGATAGGTCCTGATAGCTTCCTGTGGTTTGAGGTTTTATCTTGCAAGTTCCCCGTGCGCTCCAGATCTTCCAGCACGCTCCATTTCTGTGTGCTGGGGAACTGCAGGACAGTGCCCATGGGATGAGAGGACATTCCAGGGACAAGGAGAAGCTGCTCAGTTTGGCTTCCCTGAATTCCCTGAGCGCTTTTGAGAGTTTTCTGTAAATCCATTTCCCACAGCGCCGGAGAGGAGGAGGGATGGAGCTGGGGCTCTGGAACCCCCAAAATTCCACCGCCAGCTCTGCTCAGGACTGAGCCTTCCACAGATCATTCCGCTCCTCTCTCTGTAGCAGGGGATGGTATTTCCGTGTTTTTTGGGGAGCAAAGCAAGATCTTTCACTCCTGACATTGGCAGGTGGGCAGGGCTGGGTGCTTCTCCCAAAAATCAGCCTCTCCCCCTGGTGTGGCTGCAGCTGCTGGGCTTGCACAGGGCTCATTATTCCCTTTTCTTGCCCCTCGGGTTCCAACTTAGCTGCAGTGAAACTGAAAAACTGGGAGTTCTTCCCACTGGACTGAAGTGTATTGTGTGTTGTCTCACTGTTTCTGAATCTTCTCTCAGCAAACGCTGTGGGAACAGGACAGATTTGTCCCGTTTTGTTAGAATTTGCACTTCATTTCTGGTTTAAATCAATTCAGCTGTGTCCTACTAACTGTCCTAAAATAAGGTTATAAAAACCAGATCAATTTTAGCCCTAGATGCTTTTTTTTTTTTTTTTTTGCTTTTATTTCTGTCAACCTCTTTCTCATTGTCCAATCCAGACTCCGGCATTCTGTAATTATGTATAAAGGTTTTATTTATTTAAAACTAGATTAGTTACATTTTTAAATTTAACACCTGGCTGGACAGTGTCCCATTAACGCATTGATTGTGTTTCCTTTGTCTTGTGTTAATAAATATTGATGCCTGGTTGCTTGTTTAGTCCTTCCAGCGCTGTTTCCATGAAGGAATTTTATTTTTAAGGAAGAAAGCGCGGGTTAAAATTGATCCTGGGCAGAGGGAGAACTTGTAAGTATCTTATATTTTGTCAGTTGTATGGAGGAGTGTTGGAGCTCTGGGGGTGTGAAGGAGCTGGGCTGGGCTGTGTCCTGGACCCGTAGCTTTGGGAATCAATTTTTGGGGATCGGAGCAGGGAGTGGAGCTGGAGAAGGGGCTGGGGAATCCTGAGGGAGCTGGAAAGGGGCTCAGCTGGAGAAAAGGGGGATCAGGGGGAATTTCTGCCTCTGCACAGCTCCTGACAGGAGGGGACAGCCGGGGGATTTGGATTCGGGATTCATCGCAGGGAACAGGGACAGAGGAGAGGGAATGGCCTCAGGGGGGACACAGCAGGAATTTCCCCCTTTCCATGGGGTCAGGAATTGGAGGTGCCACTCAGAGCTCTGGGCTGGGGACAAGCTTGGACTCGATGTCTCGGAGGGATTTTTCAACCTCGGGAATTCCGGGATCCTGTGAAAATCAGATTCCTGTGAATTCCTAGAGATGCTTGGCTGCAGTTGGTGCTTTACAGGGAACACTGAATTTCCTGTGCTCCCCAGCGATGGCTGAGGAACTGTCCCGTGATGGGGGCCGACGACTGGATCCCAAATCCCTACTGTGATCCTAAAATCGCTGTGGAATATCCCTGAGAGGGACCAAACCCCGTCACCTGCTGCTTCCTTAAAACCCCTCAGTGCCAGCGGCCCGGCCGTGAGGAATCGCGGCCACAGTCCTGCCACACTCCGAGCGGGACGTGCCGGTGAAACCCGGCCGCACTGCCCTTTGCCCACGGTTGGGCGCGGGAATTTCGGGATTTTCGGGATTTTCGGGCTTTTCCCGCCGCGGTGGCGATCGCGCTCCCAGACCGCGAGTTCCCGCCCGCACCGCGCCGCTCCCACCGGCAGGGGCGCTGTTCCCGCGCCGTGCCCGTGAGCGGCGCTCTGCCGCCTCCTCTCTGTGGTGCGCCCGGGCGGGGCCGGCTCCAGGCGGCCGCTCTAGCCCGGCGCCCGCGCGCTCCGCGCCGCTGGGGCTCTATGGCGGGGGCCCCTGGGCGCGCACTCTATGGTCGCGGCCCGCCCCCCCCGCCGGCGCCGCTTCCCTGAGGCGGGACCGGGCCGGGACCGGGGCCGGGACCCGGCGGCGGCTCCGGCGCTCCTCACGCGTGGCCCTGCGGGGCTCTGAGGTAAGCGCGGGCTGGGGAGGCCGCCCCGTCCCCCTCGGCCCGCCCGCCGCTTTTCCCCCCCCGTCCGCCCCCGCGGGCCGTGAGGGGACGGGCACAGGCCGCGGCCTCGGCGCGGCGGCCGCTGCGGAAACCGCGGGGAGTTCCCCCCGCAGCCGGGCCTGAGGCGCTGCCCTGCGGCCTGGGGCTGCTGCCGGGCCCGGGCCCGCTCGCCCCTGGGACGCGGAAAAGGCTTCGGAGGGGTGACGAGGAGCCCCGGGTGCCGCTCCCCTCAGGGATGGGGGAAAGGTGCTCTGGGGGTGCCCGCGGCTCCAGCCGGTCCCGGGCAGCGGTGGCTGGGTCCCCGAGCCCTGCCCGGGCACAAACTCGGCTTTATCGCTAACTAAACCGCCGTTAATGGACGTCCCTACCCGGTCTCTATGAATTTTGCCCCAGCCCCGTGTCTGAGCCTTGACTTCAGTGCTCAGTGAGGATCGGGTGGAGCCAGGGCGGTATAAATGATAAAAATGATGATCTAAATGATCTCTGGGCTATTTTTCCCTCACAACCATCATATCCCTGATGCGAATAGAATATTGACATCTTTAGGCTGCAGCGTTTATTCCTGAAGCTCTTGTCAGGGGATATTCCTGTATAGGCTGGAATTACGGGAGTGGGAGAAATCCTAGGAGGAAAGTGCTCCTGGAGTTTTAAGGAATAACTTTGTGTGTTTGTGGAATGGAATCTGGAGCAGTGACTGGGCACCTTGACTCAAGACTGCTCTCTTGCTCTCTGGCACATCTGGTGGGATGTGCTGCCCTTTGCTCTGTCTTTTACTGATTTCTGGGAGGAAAAAAAAAGGAGTTTTCCGGGTGAGCAAATTTTCTCCAAGTGTCCTAATGGCAAATTTAGGTAAATAATATTTTCACTGCTGAAAGCAGCTGATTTTGAGGACCCCAAATTCCCCTAGATTACTTAAGTATCATTTAGAAAATTGAAATCTCTTTGTACAATTTGTAAATGTCAGAATTTGACTCGTGTCACTATTTGAGACTCGAATTCTGTGTCAAATATTCTTGATTTCTGATGTTATAAAAAATACAATCAATTGGCTGTTACAATATTTCAGTGATGAAACATCATTCAGACCCTTCCTCTACTCAGTTTGCAAAACAGAACTTGGTTTCTTCCCCCGGTGCTCTCTGTAGCACTTAATTAGGGAATTTCCAGAATTGGGGAATCAGTGGAAGTTGTGGGAATGGGTTTCCTTTTTTAATTGATGCTCCTTGAGCATGTCAGGTGTTTCTGGTGGGTTTCTGTGCTGGTTCGTGCACTCTGAGGTATTTGGAGGGTGTCTGTGAACTTTGAGAAATGAAATGTGTCCCGATGGGCTGTGACATTCCTGTTCATGTTTCAGAGGAAGGCGGTTTTGAGGCTCAGGTTTGAGGTAGGATGAGTTTTCTTGGCTGGAGGGAGATGATGCCCAGAATTTTAGGAGTTCCTTAAAGCAAATTTCATGAGCTGCTGTTGCAAAATCCTTTCAGTTAAATGACTTCTGAGGTGGAGCTGCACGGAGACTTCGGGTTTGCTGTGAAAATCATCACCCTTACCTGCCTGGGTATAAAAATGTGGTGTTTGTACAGACTGGGACAGTAATCATTCTCTGGAGGATAAAGCCTTGCTGTTGTTTCTCTTGTCAGTGCTCTGTGACTGCAAAATTCTTCCTTCACCCCAAAGAGAGCTCCTGCTTTCAGCTAAATAAATTAAATGCAGTTTCAGAGCAGTTTTATCCAGGTATTATCCTTTTTGCTGCTTCTTCTTAGAGCTTGAGACCTGCAGGTTGAGGTTTTCCTCCCATTCCAGGGGGAAATTCCTGGTTTTCCAGCTAAATAAAGTTAAAGGCAGGGGAGTCTTGTGTGGCACTCACGTCCCCAGAGGCTGTGAGGTGCAGGATGAATTTCCATCTTGTTGCAATCCTTGCTAAATCTTTTTATTGACTGCTGTTGAATGGGTAATTAAATATTCCAGAGCAAGCAGAGATGAACTAAACTCAAAACTCATATTTCTAATGGGAAATGCTTTATCTTTTATTCCTGTAAGCAGAACTTCACAGCAGTGAAAGAAAGGTCAGCAAAACCCTCTGTGCTTTCCCCCTGGGGTGTTTCTTTGGGGTTGGGTTTATTGGTTTCAGTGTTTTTTGGAGGCTGTTCTGAGTCTTTCATGGGACAGTAAGAGAGAGAAACGAAGAGCAGAGAGCAGGGAGGGCAGGCTGTGGTTTTGCACTACAGAAATGAACAGAGCTTTCTGTAGCACTGGAAATTTATTGTCATTTTTGCTGCTGTCTGGATTTCGGTTTGAGGGGCCTTTGTTACCTGAGACACTTTGCAGGGTGCAGAATTTTCCTTTATAAAATCCAAAACTGTGTTTGAGGACGGGCAAAGTTGTGTCCAGTGCAGGTTCATCATTAGTTCTGCTCATGATCTTGCAGTGGTTGATGTTTGCAGCCACAGGGGAGGCTCCATCACAGGCTGGGGAAGGTTTGGGCTGTGCTGTAAAGGACACAGAACCAGGGGTTGGTTTTGGCTGCAAGAGACCTTAAGGGACAGGTGATCACCTTGCACCATCCCAGCCTGGCCTTGGGCACTGCCAGGGATGCAGGGGCAGCCTCAGCTTCTCTGGCCCCTGTGCCAGGCCTGCCCACCCTGCCAGGCAGGAATTTCTGCCAGGGTCCCATCCAGCCCTGCCTTCTGGCAGTGGGAAGCCGTTCCCCATGTCCTGCACTCCCCTGTAAATGCCCTCTCTGCATCCTCCCTGCAGCTCCTTCAGCTGCTGCAGAGGCACAGTTCTGGTCCCCTGAAGCTTCTCTTTTCCAGGCTGAACAATCCCAGTTCTCCCAGCTTTTCCTCACAGCAGAGCTGCCCCATCAATCAATCAATCAATCAATCACAGTCTCTTGTATCAGCCAGCCACCAGTTTCCAGCAGTTTTCTCCCTCCAAAGCCCTGCTTTGGTGACTTTCTGGGGGTCCTGCAGCAGGACCCCTCGGAGCAGGGAGGCAGCAGGAGCAGGACTCTGCTCTGGGTTGACTCTTCCCCCCAGGAGCCTTCACTGGGCTGCGTGCTGTGGTTGGGCTCAGCAGGGAAAAATCAGTGACTCACATTTCCACAGAAAGAAATGTAATTTCCAGTCTCATAGCAACTGTCCTTTCAACACTTTCAAACCTTCTGTGACAAAATGTTTAACACTCACCCATCAGCTTCTAATGCTCCAGGCTGGTCCGCCCACCACCCCAGCTGAAACCTGCATTTGTGCATCCCTGAATCCCCCAGAATCCGAGGGGGGATGCTGGCAAGACGTTGAACAGTTAAATATAAAACCTTAGACATGAGAGAAGTGTTGCTGACTGCATTACATCAAGACAGAGTGACTCTTAAAATTCAAAACTGTGTTCTCTTCACTTTGATTTGAGTCCCTGGTTTGTTTTTATACACCTTCAGATAGTTTAAAATAGGTTTGGCTGGTGGCTTAGCTAAAATATTTTTGGAAATTATCTTACTTAGAGAAAGATATTCTTTAGTATAAAGAATCTTGATTTTCTTCCTGGATCATCCTTCAAACTGAAAGAGAGCAGGGTTAGATGGGATATTGGGAATTGGGTATTAATGGGGTTGTAAGAGGATGGCGAGGCCCTGGCATAGGTGGAGCTGTGCCAACCCAAGGCCGGGTTGGACAAGGCTTGGAGCAACCTGGAGTAGTGCCAGGTGTCCTTGCCCATGGCAGGGGTGGCACTGGATGGGCTTTAAGGTCCCTCCCAGCCCAAACCAGTCCATGACTGATTGTGTGTCCTTCACAGCACAGAGCAAACCTGCTCCACTGCCAGCCTGGGCTCAGGAGGTGACCCCGGGCCCGGTGCTTCACCTGCCCAACCCACAGGGGGAGCAGGGCAGGGTCCCAGCGAGCCCCTCCCCTCGAGGAGGCACAGGAGGGCTGGGGTTGGTGATGGGAAGTGACAAAAACCCAGGCTGTGCCTTCATAATGGCAACGGTGGAGGGCAGAGAGCTCATCCAACACCTCCCAGAGAGACCAGAACCATCAGGCAGGCACTGAGGCTGTAAAACACTGGTGCAGCTGGGCACCTGTCTGCTCTGCAAGTGCTTTACTAACCTGATTGAACTGCTTTTCTCACAGCTGATGATGGAAGAGGTGCACAAGGGCAGCAGCAGCAGCAGCTCTGTCACGTCCCAGCCCTCAGCTGTACAAGGTACAACCCTCCAGGCAGCTCAGCTCTCTCATATTGCTCAACAGGTAAAGCCTGGGCTGGATCTCAGCAAACATTTCAGGGAGTTCTGAGCCACTTTCATGTGCTACAAACTATAGAGACATTCTTAGAAGTGCTCAGAGAAGAAAAAACAGAAAGAGGCTAAGAAAAATGAGTTTGTTTGATGGTGGGTGACATAAAATTAATGATCAAGTGTTTAAAAGCTATTTTTTGTGTTTGTACAATGCAGAAGTGCAGCCCAGATCTGGGGTTAGTCCTCCACAGGAGCTGCTCAGGAATAAAATGAGGGCCTGGTTTCATTTTTTTTCTTAGAAAAAGCATTTCCAGCTCCTTTTGTAGTAGCAGCAATCCTGGGTGCTCAGCACCATGGAAACCCTTGGATTTTAGCCCAACATGAATATATTTAATCTAATAAACCATATGAACTTGAAAATTGAGATTTTTCCTCTAAGGTAGCATCCATGGCGGAGCTGTAACCTGAATCCCTTCGAACTGGTGAAGGAGTGAATCCTTCCAGGAGGGTTTTCCTGGGAGAAAGCAATTTTTGCAGCAATTTTTGCACTGTTTATCCTGTGAGGCAATTGGGATTTTGATGCAAAATTTAGATATAGGAAAGGAGAGAATATCAGCTGTCCTGGGGTTTGTTTCCAGGCTGGTTTCCTGATCTGTTTTTATCTAAAGTTCTGGTTGTCCCTTAATATTGTGAGTTATGATACAAAAGTAGCATTCATTGGAAATTCAGCTGTGTGTATTTTAATGATCCCCTCGTCTTATGTATTTCAGATGAATAAAAGTACTGAAGGAATTTAATTACAGAAGTGGTTATTTACCTACAATATTCATGTATAACTTGAATTATTTTTGTTTTGAGAACATATGGAAATGTGAACAATATAAATTGAATTAAAGTGTAAAGACTCATGGGAGTTCAACATCAAAACTACAAACCCTCTAGGAAGCTGAAGCATTTTCATGTTTTTAATATGTTATGTAATATCACATATTTGATTATGTGACATAATGCCACATTTGATTTTCTCCAACCAAAGGAAATAACGAACTGTTTCAGCCTTTTTCATATGCAAATAATGTCTAAAACCTGTGCATCTTTAAAGGTTCTTTTGTGACTTAATTAGAATTAAAATAAGCTGCTAATGGTTTTCCTACACGTGTTGCACTTCCTGAGTCCTGTGGCACAAAGGTTTTACTGATGGTTTCTGGTCTGTTGTAGATGTCTCTCAGAGGTTCTGCTCCCCTCACAGTCGTTCAGCTTCCTGGAGAGCAAGTGCAGGTCCAGGGAGTCATTCAGACAGCTCAGTCCTCCTCTGTGATCCACTCCCCTCAGGTGCAAACCGTGCAGGTAACTCCACACTGCCTTGAAATAACCCAGATCTGCAGTTATGTAGGTGAGAAGATGGGAAAAGATGTGCAGAGGCTTCTCTGGCCCAGCTGCCTCTGTGCCCTGCTGTAAGAGACAGTGAGCAATCCAAGGACAGCCCTGTGGGATCCCTCCCTTGTTTGGGCTTGAAATTGTTCCTGGTGGGAGTCACCTGTGGAGTCAAAATAAAACCATTTTAAGTCACCTCCCTTCATACAAAAATCCAATCCACAGCTCTGTAATTGGTGTCTTGGCAGTCAGGTGGGGTCTGACACCCAAAGGAGGGGAGTGGGGAATAACAGAATAATTCAGTAGTGGGTTAAGATGAGTGTTTGGGAAGGTGGAGCTGTGTGAAGGGGAATGAGCTGCTGGCTGCTCTCTCGTGCTGGAACTCCCTGTCAGTGGTACCCAGGTCTCTGCTTGTGTCTCTTATCACTTGCCATGTGATTTTTGTAAGAGTCCCTTCCTGAAGGTGCCCAGGGAGCTCCAGGGAACCTGATCCTGCTCCTCTCAGTCCCTGCTGCAGAGCCCCTGGGCACCTGGAGTTCCACTGGGAAGCCACTGCCTGCCCTAAAACACAGGGATTTGTCCCTGATCCTTGTCCCCCACTCCTCACAGCACACTAAATTGATCAGCCATGAGGAGCAGACCTGGCAGGGACTGTCAGCTGTCCCTGCTGTAGCATCAGAGCAGGGAGAGGAGAACACTCAGGCACCTGCATTGGCTGCTGCTCGTTGGTGCTCGTGTCTCTGTTCAGTCTCTTTCTTTTTCCCTCCCCCTGGTTGCACAGTCCCCACTGACTGGATTAATTCCTTTTCTGTAATTTATGAACTTTGTGGCCTTGGTGGAGGGAAAAACAAAGTACAACATGAGCAGGTTTTTTTCCCTGCTGATCATAGGCTGCTCTGTCTCTGCAGTTCAGTGAGAGGCTTTTCCCAGAGCTCTGTGCATTCCTCTGCACTCTGTTACTGGCACACGGATAAGAGCAAATAAATATTTTGTTCACTTATAAGGAGCATCAGAGACAAAATTACGCTTTGAACTGGATGAGCACGCAGTGGAATAATGAAAATTGTAGATAGTACTTTGCATATTTACTCCCTGATATGGTGCTGCCTTCAATACTCTTTTCACTGGACTTTCACATTCTCACCAACAAACCCCACTGCTCCTTTTCTACACACAAGATTCCAGGTGCTTTCTGTCTTTGTCCTGTACATCAGTGGTGCTCCTGTTCCCTTTCTCACCAGGTATCTTCCCTGTCTGAGAGTGAGGATTCTCAGGACTCCTCAGACAGCATTGGCTCCTCACAGAAGGCTCGAGGCATCTTGGCTCGTCGTCCATCCTACCGGTACGGGTGTGATACACTTGGTGTTTGTGTTTGAAACCAAAACAGCAGCCCCTTGCCATGGTTTTCAGTATTCTGCTGCCCTCCAGGTTGTTTCCTTTCCCTTGAAACACTCAGTGAATTTGTTCATGCCCTGAACTTTCTGAGCCATCATTGCTGTGAGGAAACTTTGACTCCACTAACTGGAGATTGGCCTCAGCAGGATTTTGTAAAGGGCAAAATGTTCACCAGCTGTAATTTTACTCAGTTGTATCATTTTACTGAAGTGAGGAGTGCAGTCAAATGTCAGACTCCTTTCTTCACAGAAAAATTTTGAAAGATCTTTCTTCTGAAGACACACGGGATAGAAAAGGAGATGAGGAAAGTCCTGGGGTCTCCACTGTCGCCTCCATGTCCGTTCCCACGCCCATCTACCAGACAAGCACTGGACAGTACAGTATGTTACCAAAATATCCTCAGTTTTTCTTCTACTTGCCTCAAAATACAGATTTCATTAAGTATTTGAGTAAGATGAAGGACAAAAGTTGGTTATTATCTAGTAGTCAATAAAGTTAGTACATAGCAGTAACTGATAGCTACAGACTTCAGATAAACTCAGTAATTTTAAGTTTTGCATATGAAGACATTTATGGGTATTGGTATGGAGCACACAGCAGTGTTCTTTGCTGGATTTAACCCAATACATCAGTGAAGACACAGATATATAGATATATATATATGTGTGTATTATAGGCCATACTAAAAGGCTCCTGGGGTATCAGAGAGGTACGAAAAAATGAGGGTTTGTTCTTTTGATGTTCCCACTTGGTGTTTGTGGTGCTTCACGCTACTCCTCTCCATCCTGTGATTGGGTGAGGCCCTGGCACAGGTGCCCAGAGAAGCTGTGGTGCCCCTGCATCCCTGGCAGTGCCCAGGGCCAGGCTGGACAGGCCTTGGAGCAGCCTGGGCTCGTGGGAGGTGTCCCTGCCATGGCAGGGGGGGCACTGGGTGGGCTGTAAGGTCCCTCCCAACCCAAGCCATTGTAGGGTCTGTGATTTACCTGTATTTTGTGCTGTACAGCTCCAAATCCTCCTGTCCCTGTGCCTTCCCTTGCAGTTGCCATCGCGGCCAACGGGCTGCAGCTGGCGGGGCCGGGGGCGGACGCGGTGCAGGGGCTGCAGACACTGACCATGGCCAACGCCGCCGCCTCCCAGCCCGGCACCACCATCCTGCAGTACGCCCAGACCTCGGACGGGCAGCAGATCCTGGTGCCCAGCAACCAGGTGGTGGTGCAGAGTGAGTACCTGGGGACACGGTGACAGCCCCGGCGCTGTGAGTGCCACCTGCTAACGCTGCCCCCTTTGTGTCCCTAGCTGCCTCTGGGGACATGCAGACGTACCAGATCCGCACCACGCCCACCACCTCCTCCCTGCCCCAGACCGTGGTGATGACGTCCCCGGTCACCCTGACATCCCAGAGCAGCAAGACAGATGACCCGCAGCTGAAACGGGAGATCAGGCTGATGAAGAACAGGTACGTGAGTGCACCCTGTAGTAAACCCCATAGATTTAGGAAAAGCACCATGGAGGATATGAACAATAGGAATGCTGAAACAGCAAAAGAAAATTCCTGTTTCCCTGTCCTCCACCCTTAACCTACCTCTGTAACCCTATAAGGCAATGTCATGTTAACCCCTTACCATTGGTCAAGCTTGGGTCCTTTCCAACCCTATAAAAGAAGCATACTGTACCACTTAGGGGAGAAAGAAGAAGAGCAGAGACCCTTCACAGACCCCCCCAAATAAAGCCATCTCCGTGGAACAGCCTGCGCCTTCTCCTTCTCCTCTCTCTCCGTCTGCTGCAGCCTCCAGCCCAGGGCACCACTACCTAGCAAGCAGAGCTGAAATCCTGAGAGCTTGCAATCCCTCTAGAGCTGATAATCACCATGCTTGCTAGATGGTAGCCCTGAGGCCTTGGCATGAGCGAGCCTCGGGCACCCGGTCCCTACCCAGGGACTGAGCCCCTGAGCCCTATTGCTCTGCTTTATGATAAGGCCAAATAAGAGGCTTTATTAGCACCCCAGCTGCTTGGCGGGGGAGTTCAATCACGTGCAGTCACTGGGGTTGGAAAAGACTTCCAGGATCATAAAGCCCAACCTGTGACAGATCTCCACCATAACAATGAGTGGCACATCCAGGGATGGGGACTCCAAACCTCCCTGCCAATGCCTGACCATCCTTTCCATGAGGAAATTCCTCCTGATGTCCAACCTGAACCTCCCCTGGCACAGCTTGAGGCAGTTTCCTCTTGTCCCGTCCCTGTTCCCTGGGAACATAGCTTGATCCCCCTGAGCCTCCTTCTCTACAGGCTGAGCCCCTTTCCCAGTTCCCTCAGGAGTTCTCCAGAGCCTTCTCCATGTGCTCCAGCCCCTTCCCTAGCTCCATTCCCAGCTCTGGGTGTGCTCCAGCCCATCCATATTTCTCTTGCAGTGAGGGTCCAGAACTGGAGGGGGCCCCAGCAGTGTCCAGCACAGGGGGACAATCCCTGCCCTGGTGCTGTGCCACAGCCCAGGTGCCCTTGGCCTCCTTCCCCACCTGGACACACCTGGCCTTGTGGCAGATGGTGACCCAAACATGGGAATTTGTGACCCAGACGTGCTCCCTTGAGTCTCCCAGTGTGGAGAAGCCAAAACTGGGTTTCCCCTGCAGACTGGCTGCCATTTGTGTTACCAGATCCTGCTGAATTTCCTGCTCTCCTTGGGCAGTTCTGGCTCGGTTTTGTTCCTCGCTGCAGCTCCAGCTCTCCTGTGTTGGTCAGTAGTGTGACATTCAGAAAGTAGATCTCACAGCTAAAATCAAGAACTCTGCTTCTCTGTTGCAGAGAAGCTGCCCGGGAGTGCCGTAGGAAGAAGAAGGAGTACGTGAAATGTTTGGAAAATCGAGTGGCAGTCCTGGAAAATCAGAACAAAACTCTAATTGAAGAGCTAAAAACTTTGAAAGATCTTTACTGTCATAAAAGTGTGTAAGAAGAGAAGGTAAAAACATTTGGGGACTGGTGAAATATCAGAGGAGAATTTTTTTTTTATACTGAATTTTTTAAACTAGATGAAAGGTCAAAAATGAAACTTTTCTACCTAGATTTCACTGCTCAAAGACTCTATAGATTTTCTTTACAACATGTTGGTGACAAAGTACAAAGAGGAAACAAGAAAACCTCACCAAAATTCCTGCTGGCACAACTGGAAACTGCTAAATTCAAGATTGCAGCTACAGCAGAAGGACAGTCACGTGTGGCAAGGCAGGTGATGAGAGTTTCTTTGAAAATTCCTATGAATGCCTCTAATAAGGGAGGCAAAATTTGGTTACAAAGAAAAAACATGGGTGAAACAGAATCCTTGCCATAGCTGACATTATTAGTAACGTTTATAACCAGTGTATGTTTTGATTTCTTACTCTTTTTCAAGCCTTTTTCCTTCAGTTATTTGTCTGTAAATATTTTTATTTTAACCTGTAAGTTGGTCTTTACAGGTGCAGATGATAAAAAAGCTGATACTTTGCTCGAGGTATAAATTATGTTTTTACTCTTCCTCAGATGACAATTTAAAAAGTTGGGATGATTTTTTTTTTCCATGTTTGCCGTGTTTATCAGATTGGGGAAGGATCTGCAGAAGGCAGCAAGAGGCCTGGTCCTGGAAATGTCTGAGGCACAGAAAATTGTGTTGGTTTTCTTAGAGAATTCAACACATCAGTGACTTTAAAGCACAGTGAGAGGGGCAAGGACTGGTGACAAAAGTTCTGAAGAATTTCTGAGATGAAACTTCTCAAAGTTGTTCATTTCACAAGAGTTTGTTCTTAGTTCTGGGCATGAGAAACATTGATCATTGAAAATTAAATTGTGTGCTGATCATATCTACAATTAAACACTCAGTGCTTGTCCTGGCTGGGGATTCTCCTGGGCTTTGGAACATGAAACCAAATAGAAGAAAAATGATGTAGTAAAAAATGAAAGATCTATACCAAAGGGTTATGAGGTTCTAATCTCTGGTTTATTGCTGGAAGTAGTGCAAAATTACAATTTCCAGCCTAATTTTGTAAGGTAGGAGCTATTTTGCAAAGTAATGGTATCTTTGTAAGCAAATACTATATTGCAAACAGGGAGATGGTTGGTATATTTTGTAGCTAAATTGTGATCTTTACAAAACCTGAAATTGAGTTTCTATACGTATTTTGACAGTTTATATCTTTCATTTTAGTAACCAAATGAAATATTTTGTGAACCAGATTTTCAAGGATATATTTTTATGGATAGTACAAAGTCAAATGAGATCCTCTTTGGTGTAGGAGATACTTGAATTAATTTTGTATGTCTGTAGGCAACTTGCAGAAAAAAACAGATCCTAAAGAGTATTGGGGCGGGGGGGAAAGGAGGAAAAATAAAAGAAATTCGAGCTTTTTACTCCCCAGAGCTGACAATATCTGCACATTCGATCTCATTGTGTCAGAGAGTCCAGTTTGTACAATTTAAACTTGTTTCAGGTGAAAATCAAACGTTTGACATGATCAGGACTCCTTTAGCTGGGGAACCTCTGTGCTTGGAGAGCCCCGAGCTGTCTGGCCGTGGGCCCTGGTGGGCAGGACAGGCTCTGGTGGGACACAGTCCTGGGCGAGGAGTGACCCCGCTGGTCAGGCTGTGGGCTGGGCAGGAGCTGAGGTGCCTGCAGTGCCCCTGCATGAGCAATGAACCATTTCCATGGCTGGGATGGAATCCTGCTTCCGTTCTGTCAGCGGGGATTGCACCTGGACTGTGCTGGTGGAGGCGGGAGAGCTCCGTGTGTGTCGTGCCTGCTCTGGATGGAGTTCCAAGCTGTGCTCCCTCCCTGGATGTGTAGTGCTTATCCCATGGTCAGTCAGTATTTTGGATTTTGCTCCTTTGGCAGTTAATGGACTTGTAGCAAGCAGAGCTCTTTGCCATGAGGAATCTGCATTCTGCAGTCTCCTGGTTAGTGGGCTAGAAAAAGGTTTTGGTTTTTTTTTCCCTGAAGTTCCTAAATCTCTGATTGTTGTGGGCACGAGCCCCAATGCATTTCCTTTAGGCCAGGCTGGAGTGGGACTCCTGGTTGCCATCATGTCAGAAAAAAAAGCTTTGTGACCCATCAGAAATAAGGTTGGGAAAGTCCCAAACTGAGGGAGCTGCTCCTGGAGAGGTGTTTCCCATTACTTTGGTGGAATTTCAGGAGAATTGAACAGCCTGGAATGTGCCTGGAACATGCACCTCAGAGAATTGGACCTTTCCTCAGCTGTGTGTGTAACCTGGCACGTGGGAGAGGGTTTGACCTACAGTTCTGAACTGCTTTGGGAACTCTGTGGTAGCTGATCCTCACTGTGTTCTCTTTTTTCCTTTTGTAAGATGGAACAATAATAAACAAAAACTATCAAGTGTTAAGACTGTAAAAACCTGGTGGCCAATTCTTCTTGTATCCAGCAAGGGAAGCACCTGTCCTGCCAGACACACCAGGAGTCAATTTTTATACTCTTAAAATGGTGTGTTGGAAAGAACAGATGGTTTTTCATCATGGGAATATTAAACAGTAACACAAGTTCGCTCTTTAAGCACTCATCATGAAGTTCTTAGTTTGGATTTACTTTCAAATCTCGGTTTTAAAGAGTAAAATCTCATTCCTGAGGGTAAGAGATGCAGCAGCTGCTGCTGTTCTGCTGGTTGGTTCCAAACAGTCCGTGCTTTCCATGAATTGTAAATATTTGTTGAAACAATTAATGGTTGCAAATTTTGATCTTGGTAAATAAAGTCGCTAAAATATTATAATTCTGCTGGTCCCTATTTATTTTTAAGCTGCAGTGGTGGTGACCAGGTGGGAATACCTGTGTGGGATCAAGTGATATGACAGCCAGGAATAAATAATAGTCAATTTTAGTGGATTAAATGGTTCTTGTACACACCTGCCAGTGCTAAAAATCATGAGTGCAGAACAGCTTTTACCTTCCTGCAGGGTTTTTTACCTTCTTAGTTTTCAATAAGCTGAGCCACGGGTAAGGTTTTGTTAATTAAATGGTTAATTAAAACCTTAGTGTGCTCTGCTGGTTTTTACCCGGCAGAGGGAGCATCTGCCCTCCCCAGACCCCGGTGGCGTCACTGAGTGTATTTAACCCTCCGATGGCTGCAAAAGCACAGAAATAGGGTGGGAGGAAAGTGTTTCCAGTCGATAACGTTTCTATATTCAATTTTCCTCATTAGTGCCGAGGCTGTTACTGTTTCCTCTCCTGTCAGTGTGGATATCAGAGGCAGGAAACAAAAAATACAATGGCAGACATGACTCCTAAAAAGTAAGTGCACATCCTTTGGCTCTCGGATTTATTGTCAGTCAGGAGGGAGCCGGTGTCCCCACGCTTTCCCAGGCAGGACAGAGCTCCACGAGGACCGCGCGCTGCGTTCCCCTCACAAAGCCTGCGTGAGCACTGCGTGCAGCAGAGCCAGGAGGATGGTGAGTGTGCTGCTCTGGGGGCTCCAAGCCTCGTTGGTCACCAGGAGTTTGGCTTTTATCCATTTCCTGTACTGAGACAGGCGCACGTAGATGCCGGGGTAGCGCGGGCGGCCGCAGCCCACGCCGAAGCTGGCGATGCCCACCAGGTAGAACTTGTCGGTGTCAGGGTGGTAACACACCAGGGGGCCCCCGCTGTCGCCCTACAAATGAACACCACAAAAAGCAGCAGCAGGTGAGGGTTTCCTTCCAGGAAACACCTCGGGCACTAATCAGTCTGGCTTTTTAGATGCATTTTAAGCAGCTCAGTGGACTGGACAGGCACAATGACAGTAGCATGTGGGCAATTCAAGGTCAGTTTGGTGTTGCTGGAAGACAGAATCAGCATCCCTGAGGTTGGAAAGGCCCTCAAGACCATCGAGTCTAACCTGATGCCCATCTTGTCACCAGACCAGAGTGCTTGTCACCCATGTCCAGCTGCTCCTTGGACACCTCCAGGGATGGGGACCACCACCTTCCTGAGCAGTGCCTTCCAATGCCTGACCACCCTTTCCATGGAGAAATCCCTCCTGATTCTGGTCAAGACTGCACTGACCAGAGCCCCAGGCCTGCACTGCTTCTGTTAGCTGAGTTAAAGGTAATCTGAGTATCTTTTAACTCAGATTCTCTCTGCACCTTTTCATGCCTAAACCTAAACCTTCACTCCTCACTTAATGGGGGAATTTGCCCACACGGTGTGGGAGCTCCAAGAGACCCAGTAAGGAGCACACATCCAGTGTCTTGGCCGTGTCACCTGCTCAGGGAAAACTGCTGAGAGAGGCAGGAAGTGTGTCAGACAAAGCACTTAGGATACATTATGGGGTTTCATTAGTAATGTCTCTGTGTCCCAGCTGGTGCTGCAGCTTCTGCCAGTGCTTTGGACCTGAGAACTGCCTTTTCCGAGAAGGAGGTGGTGACTGCTCACAATTTAAACAATCATGGCACATCCCTGAGCCACTTCCTAGAGCCCTATCCCTGAACCACATCCCTGAGCCTTATCTGTGTCCAGTGCTGCTCCCCAGCATAAGAACAGTGAGACATCCATGTGCTTCACACACACTGTATGGTACAGTGTCCAGTGTTTTGTCTCATTTATAATTTACTGACACCTTTATGGCATAAATATGTCACCTTCTTTATCTTTCCTCTTTGTTCACCTGTCCCTGTCATCTTTCCAATATCACCAAATTCTTTGTGTACGTTTTGACTTTGTAATCACTGTCCCAACCCTTTTATGATGTTTCCTTTGCATTTGACATGTTTCCCAGTTAGTATTTCTGCTGTTTTAATTAATCATGCTACAAATCACGATGCTGCTGAGCCTCTGGCTTGGGAGTTCCACTGAGGCAGGTGGGGCACCACCTTCCCTCTCACCTGGCAGGGGTGGCACCACTCCCCTCTCACCTGGCAGGAGGGGCACCACTCCCCTCTCACCTGGCACGTGTAGCACCACATCCCCTCTCACCTGGCAGGTGTCGGTGCCTCCAGCCCAGGCGCCAGCACAGAGAGCTTTGTCGTTCATGAGCCCTGCGTAGCCTGCAGAGCTGTTGCACAGGCTGGGAGGGAGGATTCCCACGTGGGCTTCTTTTAGCACAGGTGAGATTTTACCTTGAAAGGAGACAGAATTCGGAAAGGTGAAATATGCTGGGGTGTGTAGCAATTTTACTGTGGGGTTTTTTTTGTTTGGCGAGCCTAGGTGTGTTCCTGGACATGTTTAGACATGGATATGACACAGACCCTGCCTGTTGCCAGTGGATTGGAATTTGAGTGGGTTAAAGGTTTGAAGACTTGGGTTGGATGTAGATTTTGCAATTCTTCCTCAGAAGAAGCATCAGTGATAATATACATGCCTTACTCAAAATGTCAGAGGTGACTTACCAAACAGGCTCATACAATCTCAGCTGACCCCAAAACTCCCACACAACAACTGGCATTGAATTTGTGCCCAGTGGGAGTAAAGAGAGAATTGGAGGGGGTGTAGTCATTCATAAATCCCATGGGAACCCCTCAGTTCACAACATGTGGCATCAGAATTGTTGCTTTTCAATAGAATAGCTGTTTCCAGCAGCCCACGCTGACCTGCACCACAAATGGGGTGAGTTTATTTTCCTTTTTTTTCATGTTATACTTGGAAGAAAGGCTGGGAAATCTATTCCTGTGGTTACAGCTGTGTGAGTCTAACCTGCTTGTGATGGAAAACCCCTGAGAGCAGATCCTCACTGCAGAGTTAAATGACATTGTGTGAGGAGACCATAACCTGTGCAAATCCACTGAGAATCACAGAATGGTTTGGGTTGGGAGGAACTTTAAAAATCATCCAGTTCCACCCCCCTGCCATGGGCAGGGACACCTTCCACTATCCCAGGTTACTCCAAGCCCCATCCAGCCTGACCCTGGACACTTACAGGGATCCAGGGCCAGCCACAGCTGAACTGGGCAATCTGTGGCAGGGCCTCCCCACCCTCACAGGGAGGAATTTCTTCCCAAGATCTAATCTGAACCTGTCCTCTTTCAGTTTGGTGCCATTCCCCCTTGAACGGTCGGGAAAGGCCTCTAAGGTCCGAGTGCAAGGAGAGTTTATAAACCCGGGGATTTAACAGGAGGTTCAGCAGAGGCAGAGCCCCGTACCCTTCTCGGTGGTGCGTCCCCAGCCGCTGATGTAGCAGTCGGAGCTGTTCTCCAGGGGCTGCACCAGGGCAGCCGGGGCCAGGCACACGGGCTGGATGAAGAGGCTGTAGCGCACCGCCGACCTCAGCTCGAACACCGCCACGTCGTTCTCAAAGGTTTCCCTCTTGAACTCGGAGTGCACCATGATCCTCCTGATCCTCCTCCTCGCCGTGTGGCGGCTGTGCTTCTGCAGGTTGTGCACGCCCAGAACGGCCCGCCAGGAACACGGGTCCCTGCCAGAGAATTCACTGCGTTCGACATCGGTTTCACCATTTGTTTTCACAGAGCCCTGGGATCCAGGAAGGGCTTGGGTTGGGTTGGAGGCACCTTAAAGCTCATCTTTAAGATGAGAATGCAG